AGGTGCAGCAGTCGGCAAGTTGCTACCGAAATCAGAGTGGTGAAGTGCTTACACCCTACCAGATTACCTAACAGACCCAAAATCAGCCCAAGACTTTCACCCTCAAAGCATCAAAAATGGCACTCCACCAGCATCTGTCCCGTTCGAATGGTACCGTACGAAAGAGCTACAACATCAGCTCTTTCGTCAAAATTTGACAACACGTTAAAGCTTTATACATCCCTCGTTCTATACACAGAAAGAAAGAGGGTTTCACGATAATTGCTGTAACATACGTATTATCACATTATAAATTATCACAACATATCACAGAATTCTCGGCTCTTTGTCGCATTCCCGTTCGTCTACAACGCGATATCTTCGTCGTGCACATTCGTACTCGTATCGTCCATTTTTCATCAAATTATTTATAACTAATGTTGAAATTTTCGTTTCAGCTGGATATTTTTGACCTGTAACGTATTTAGAGTGAAAGAAAAGCAGATGAAACAAAAATCAAGTGGAAAATGCAAAAATAATCAAATTATTTATAACTAATGTTGAAATTTTCGTTTCAGCTGGATATTTTTGACCTGTAACGTATTTAGAGTGAAAGAAAAGCAGATGAAACAAAAATCAAGTGGAAAATGCAAAAATAATAGATGAGATAACCTTTTTGACAAAGTGATGACTGCAGCTGCTCATACGTTGATCCACCGATGTAGATAACCTGCCTTCCCTGCCCGTGATCGACTTCAGCGCGATCGATCGAATGAAATTTGTTATCATTATCGTAGTGAATTCACGTGTTTGGATTCAAACAGAATCAAAATTGTGATAATTCAATGAAAAGCAGGACGCATAAAGCAAGTATAAACGGCCACGCAAAGTTTTCTATCTACTTGGATATTTGAAAACAGCACATGCATGGAATTTTCATAGAACACCCGTGGTTATCCGCCGCTGTCCATGAAGGTTATCCTCCAGGAAGTTTGACGGTACGAATGCCGGGTTCACCCGGAACCGGGATAGGATTGCTCCCTGGGTTATCCGCCCATTCTCCCAGCCTCCATGCATTCCCACACCAACATGGGTTCTAGAAAGTACCATACCTGTGCCACTAACCTAGTCATTTAAGAAAAGAATAGCAATATTTGAATATCATTCAGTGGTCGTTTTACCTAAGCTTGTGCGTCTGGTAATAAGGGCCGATAAAAGGATATGTCAAATTTGTAATAAGAGAGAACAACGAATCGATTAGCCTCCGAGGTTTTTGATAATTAACTGTGGAATTAACTTTTTGAAGCAGCACGCATAAAGTAAGGATAAACGGCCACAGAAAGTTTTGTAACTACTTGGATATTTAAAAGAAGCACATGCATGGAATTTTTATAAAACACCCGTGGTTATCCGCCTCTGTCCATGAAGGTTATCCTCCAGGAAGTTTGACGGTACGAATGCCGGGTTCACCCGGAACCGGGATAGGATTTCTCCCTGGGTTATCCGCCCATTCTCCCAGCCTCCATGCATTCGCACACCAACATGGGTTCTAGAAAATACCATGCTTGTGCCTCCAAGCTGAGCTATGTTAAGAAAATAATGGCAATAGCTGAATATCATTCAGTGGCCGTTTTACCTAACTTCATACGTCTGATAATAAGGGCCGATAAAAGGATACATCAAACTTGTAATAAAAGAGGTTAACAAATCGACTAGCCTTCGAGATTCTTGATAATTAATTGTCGAATCAATTGAGCTGACCGTGTACGGAACCACCAGCGCCCGACCTGTTGAGGTCCATCTTTCGCTCTTCAACCCGGTCATCCACAGCTCTCAGCGACCTAGAACACACAAATGCAAATGAAAACAAAGCTGAACATACGTATTTATGTGAATTCGCGTTCAGAAGGCCAAGAAAAACATTAACAACGAAAAGATTCAAATCATCTCACTATATCAATGTTCTATTGTAAAGTACAATGTTATCACATTAATTATAATTTTAACGGTTAATTGGCTAAAGATGCTATTAAAATGCTTAAAATTATACCCACTGACAGAAGAAAGTCTTGAATATCTCATAATCAGAATAAAAAGCACTTTGTAAGATATTGATGGCAAACAGTATCAATTGTGAACCCGAACGAACAGTTCATTCATTAGGGTGCAACTTCGCAGGGTACTAAATATCCGTCACTGACTCGGTCTCATCGTTTTTGTGCGTACAGTTTCTCATCGTGTACAAATCATTATTATACTGGACATGAATTTAATTAAAATAAAACAGATAGTACGAAGTGTTATTTGAACAAAGAATTGCAACCTTAGAAAGTGCTAACTTTACTACGGTTGAAGAAAATTTCCATTGCTGAATATCTCAAAAGGCTAGAGCAAAATGTAAATGCAGATTGATGCAAGGAAAAAAGTAATGTGAATTTGATGAAGACGAAAACATCGGATTTTGAAGCGGCTTGAGAAATCGATTTGTCAAAGCAACATCAGGTGAGGATTTTCGGGACATTCTGACTGTGAAGTATCACGAGAGATACAAATAACATGACGAATCAACAACGAGTTTTACATTTGTACCATTTTTTGAAGTCTTTTTGTGTATTTTGAGAAAAATAAATGTGCCTTCCTTTTCATTGTTTCGGAAATCAGCGGTACTTGGAGCTGTGTTATCGGAAAAGCTATAAAACTGAAACATTATTATGCATGCGTACAGGCAGTGTGATTTCAGAAATATTTTTCGTATCATGCGATGAGTGACGACCAAATAAAATATCTATTTTGTGACGCTTTTGACTCTGAAATGACAGTTTCTCTCTGTTTTATCAATTTTTTAAAAATAATCTGGTCTTCAAGCTTTGATAAGTACATTATCGGATGAAAACTGTGTAATCATGGAGAAAAAACGGAGGGGGGACAAACGATTTTTTGCATGCTGAAGGATCAAAATTGAGTGCAAAAAATGGTACTCACTGGTAGTTACGGTAGTTTCAAAGGAGTTTTCATTCATATTGGGCACTGATGGCTGTAAAAATACATGAACAAACTGCTATTCCTCAGATCAAAATGCTAGGACGTGATTTGTTAACGTAGCTTTCATAAGGTGTACATGTTTTGCGTTGCTTTTATCAGTTTAGGGTTTCACTCGTTTTGAATTAGTATTCGGAATGCACACACACAAATCGCATTTGCAATATTGATAAAAGTACAAGAACGATTCCTAGCACATTCTCACTGGATTCTTCAACAAATAATGAATAAAATTGCTGATTGCGAGCTTGAAATTGAGAAATCTGCAAATGTTTTGCTTGACAATTTGCAATGAAGTATTCATTGCGACAGCACTGATCTATCGTTCCATAACAAGGCAATCTCATCATTACTCTCAGTGTTTATGATACCACATCAAAAACATATTGTTATCAAACTGATTATTGCTTGTTTAAGTTGTATTTCGGCACAACAATCTACAGAAGTGGTAACGAAATGCGTCTCACATTCGATAGTAGCATCTCAATTATAAGTATTTTGTGCACGATGTTCAATGAAGCCAATGGATTAGGGGATCTGAATGGTATGGATCGACTGGGTGTATTCGATGATGATCGAACAGCGAGACATAAATTCTCGAATCATCCAATTACATCTGCGGAGTATGTTTTCTGTTCTTTCATTGAATGCAACAAATTACTATCGCATGAAATTCGTTCGTTTCGATAGAAATTCCCTCGTTTCAGCTTACTTTCTTGTTATTTTCTTTCATTACGGGAATAAGAGAGATCATGACTTAAGACATGATTATATGGAAGCTGAATAAACTATGCTACTGAAAACTGTGACTAGTCGGCAAAATTCTTATCTCATCAAAACCAATCTCAAAGTTTCGTTGATAATTGCTTGGAAATGTCCACCGACGGATGGATACTTCATAATGAAAAAATTCAAATTTGTAGTATTAAAGCATAATCCCAGTCATTACCTTGAAAGTGTCATTTTTTGCTGCCTATAGGATTTTTTGACCCCGAAACGTGGCTCGCAAGCTCTTTTCGGCTGACATAATTTGTAGGATATCAATTGATTACTAATGTGTAATTCTAAAAAATAAATGATTACATAATTTGTGTTGATAAGATGGCGATTTAAAATTCAGAATTTCACAAAGAAACGATGCAAGTGACACCATCAAACGCAAACCAATAGCAGCACTAGTGCCGTATGCAATGAAACGAGTGAATGCGACCACTCAGTCATCATATTCGATGCGGAGCACTGTTGTAACCTCATCGAAACCAACATCCCAAGCAGTGCCATCTCTCGAAACAATCCGATCGACACCGAAACTGCCATCCAGTTCCTCAGAGCAAACCAACAGCAACACTAGAATACGGCTTGCGTCACCACAGAATTTTCCATCGTGTCCATGCCGGGCCAAAAAAATGATTAAATCCGCCGCAAACACGCCAATTTCCATTGTAACAAATTCTGCTACATCAACTTCGAACAGTCACATCTTGGCTGAACACGCATTCATCACCCTTTTGACTGTAAATGTTATCGTTGGATTGTTTCAATGACTAGTCGGTATTAGATGAAAACCTAATGACTGATTAGTATGAGTAGTGTTTGTTTCTATGATTAGTTATGCNTGAAATGTAATGTTTCATATGCAAACGATCACATGCTCTCTTGTGTTCGAGAGCATATTCTCGTGTTTTTTTTTTGTCATTTTCGTGCAAAATCCAATTTCCAAAGTCATACTTCGTCAACTGGATTGTGTTGTTTATGTCGCTTGTTGTTGAATACGCTATCGAAAAAATTCTGAATAATATTCGCCAATAAACTTATCTGAATTAATGTGCTGAATTAATGATAAATTTTTCAATTTCGATTCACTCCTATTCATCATTGTTGCTTTGAATTGTTGCTCATTTGCTGCCTACGGAAACGGTTGATTTAAGACTTTCTGTCGTCCTCTGTGTGGTCAACTCGGAAGATAAAACTTCGCATTGATCTCCAGCACGGAGTGACCAAATCATTCTCGTTTCATTCAATTCACTTAATTCTGTCGATCCTATTGTGATGTAGGGAATCGCCTGCAATGAGGAATATTTTTTGAAAGAGAGTGTCTTCGAAGCGAATGGTATTATACGGTGCAACGATAGAATTGAGTTGATGCCAGCAAAATGGAGCATGCATTTGGGTGACCTGTGATGAAGATTTTGAAATCGTCAATTCTGTTTGGAAGAAGCGTTTTTCTTTGGGGTGATTCAGCGGAATTCCACGAAACTCCACTTAAGTCTAAGCAGATATCGTCTCCGTGGAACGGCCAATTTGAGCCGCTCCTTAGGTTGATCTGATCTGACAATTTGGTTGAAAATAATGTGCCGCGTCTCATTCTGATTTCTCGCGTTTCAATGTAGTGGCCAGAAATTTTTTCAGTGTGTGTATGTGTATTTTCAGGCCGCTTGGGTTCATCTGATAGCATAGAGCCGTAAGGTGAAAGTTAAGAGCGAATTTTGGTGACACAACGTGAGGTGAGCAAAAAACACTTTGACATAATGCCGTCGGATGCTAAGAAGAAGCGGGATGCGGCCAAAAAACTTGCCGGAAAAACACGAAATAAAGCACGAGACAATAAAAAGGTAGCTATTCGCACAATCGATCATCTCATTTTTAAAATTTTCCCATTTGATAGAAAATTTCCGGCAGTCATGAATTGAAACTCTGCCCAGTTTACGATTTTCATACAGTTCTAGTCGTTTTCATCCCATGATTAGGCTAACTCATGTGGAACTGTGGGAAGAGAATCAGTTAACACCTTGATGTACGTATTGTTAGCTTAAGTATTCCTTTTTTCCTTGAATCATAGAATCGTTTCAGGCGCAAGACGACGCAGATGGATGTGAAAATCCAACTGGAAATGATAGCCCTCCGCTCGAAAACGGTAAATTGTCGACAATTTAGCTTATTTTCAGTGCTGTCTGTTATTAAACGCAAAAAAATTGTTGTCATTGTTGTTATGTTCAATATTCGTCCGATGTTTCATATTTTTACAATTTTAATTTTTACAAATTTTATTGTTATTATTGTTGTCGTCAAAGCGTAGTTGAAAATTCAGGAGTGGAAGTCAATGGGTTAATCGAAGAAGAGGAGGAAAATAATGTCGTCGATGCTGCGGCAGCTATGCTCGAGAAAATGGAGATCGAAAATGCCCTAGCACGTTCAGCAGCCGGAGCGCTCACGTCCCATTCAAGGTTTCTTTCTATCATTTTTCATCACTCATCTCATCATTACTGTTATTTTCCATCAGATTGACGTTAATTTTGCGATCATGAGTGGTATTATTAGTCACAAATATCACCGTTCTATCAGCGAGTAATTTTCATTCTCGGCTCTTCATGCGGAATTCCTTTCTGAGTCGACTAGCATTCTTATCGTTTCCTGTTGACATTCGTTCATCATATGATTCATATTGTTCGTCGTTAAGATCGATGGATTTGAAACTCGAAAGTGTGACTGTAACGTTTCATGGACGTGAAATTGTTACGGATACAAAGTTAGAGCTGAATATGGGTCGGCGCTACGGCCTAATTGGCCTCAACGGAAGTGGTATGTTGGTTGGATTCTTTTTCTTTTTTGTTTTGTTTTTCAAAAACCTTATGAAAACTTCTACGTAAAACTTCAAGAGGACGATAGTGTTGTTGCATTGCACCGTATTTGCAGGCAAGTCAACGCTCATGCAAGCCATATACAAGCGTGAACTGCCTATACCGGATCATATTGATATGTATTTGGTATCGCGAGAAATGTCGGCAAGTAACGATTCTGCACTAAAGGTACACTTACCAAAGATGGTTCATCCACTTTATACATTTCGAATTGCTGGCAGTGATTCTGATTTATCGGTGCTTTAGGCTGTTATCGACGTTGACGCAGAGCGCAAAGTTTTGGAGAAACAAGCCGAAGAATTGGCCTCTTGTCCAGATGAGGGTGAGTTAATGGACCTCATGTTTGAACTTTATCATATCAAACGCTTACCACGGCTGATTGATTGTCTCTCATCGTTCATTACCATTTGTGTCATTTGCAAAATCAGTCCGCTAATCGCTACTTTCAAATTTTAACTCAAAATTTGTAATCGCGCTGCTGATTTTTGCTGGAAAAAATCGTAAAGCATTAGGCAACACGGTCATGGATTTCACTGGAAATATCGAACTTTATTCAAATGCAATTCGATATCTTGAACAGTTCGAAAGTGTTGTTGTGGATTGGAAAGTTAGTTCAGGATTGGGAATGTGCATACTGGGTTTGTTTGCAGAGAGTCATGATAAGTTGATGGATATATACGAGCGGTTGGATGAGATGGATGCAGATAAAGCCGAAGTGAAGGCTGCTGAACTTTTGCATGGTCTAGGCTTTACGAGACAAATGATGCTGAAAAAATGCAAAGATTTTTCAGGTATTTTTTTGTTTTATTTATTTATTTATTTAATCAGCAAATCCAACTCATTACGAGTTTCTTGTTGTTATTCTTTCAGATATGTATTTTGTTTGTTTTTGTCGTTTTCAGTAAGTTTTTATTCTGATTGCTGCTCATTGTTGTGTTTTGTGTGTGTAATTGATCTGTTTATAACGCAGGTGGTTGGCGTATGAGGATAGCACTGGCCCGTGCTCTATATCTTAAGCCGTCTCTTTTACTGCTCGATGAACCGACTAACCATCTGGACTTGGAGGCATGCGTGTGGCTGGAAGAGGAACTCTCAAAGTGATTATTTTTTTCATTTTTTGGAAATTATTTTACGGTTCGGAACTCGTAAATTTCAAATAAGTGGGCATTTTAGCCATTGAATTGCTCGTTTTGAGGGCCAATTCTTTTTTTTTTTGCAACTTTTTTGACTGATTTGAAAGTTATTTCTCTTTTTTTGTCAAGCAGAATTATGATGATGAAGTGTTTGAGTTTTGTTATCGCTTACCGTTAGTGTATTGTTATCGAATTGTGATTTTTTTAGATTGTGGAATGGTTGGATTGGGTTATTAGTGATTAAATTATTTGATTTGTTCATTTTTCAGGTACAAAAGAACTTTACTGATAGTGTCACATTCGCAAGATTTCATGAACGGTGTTTGTACGAATATTATTCATCTTTTTCAACGGAGACTCGAATACTTTGGTGTAAGTTATTGCCGCTAATTGATTTAGCGTTGTCGCATTCTCGTTGATTTCAATCGCTAAAATTCATATCTCTGGTTAACTTACGAATGAAAGATGGATGCTAACGCATAATAGTACATTAAAGTAAGTGGACATTGTAGGGTAATTATGATACTTACGTTCGTACTCGGGAAGAATTGATGGAGAATCAGTTGAAGCGATACAAATGGGAACAAGATCAGTTGCAACACATGAAAGTAAGTGCTGATACCGAATGACTGCTTCTTGTCATCATTATTGTCATAGTTGTATCAGTATTATTATGGTTTCGTAGCAAAATTTGCAATTGTTTCATCATGACAGTAATTGGATAATTGTTGTCGTTGATGTTTTTGTCCTGCCGGAATTTGGCTTAATTCAGCCGAATGGAGCGTGCTGCCACTTCTGCTGATTTTAAGATTGTTTTGTGTCAAAAGTTGAAAAATGTTTNTGTGATTTTCGTTCTCATTTGAGAAGCGTTTTTTGAGCAAAGAAGGTGCAATTTTGATTTTGATCAGACATTGTTTCATCATTTGAGGATTATATTGCACGTTTTGGTCACGGTAGTGCGAAACTGGCACGTCAAGCGCAAAGTAAAGAGAAGACGATGGCCAAAATGGTAGCTGGTGGTTTAACCGAGAAAGTGGTCACTGAAAAGGTGAGTCTTGTCTATTCATCTGTTACATCCACAACTTATCTGTTGCTCAGTCATAGTCACTCTGTCTTTTGATCGCGTTTCATTTTTATTGATGGATGTGTGCGGCTGTTGTTTTCTTTGTCTTCATCAAGGGAGCTTCAGGTGAAACAATTCTATTTCTTCGATGCTGGAACAATTCCACCGCCCGTTATCATGGTACAGCATGTGTCGTTCCGGTATAACGATAACACGGTATGTCCAATAAGGAACTCATTGACTCAATTATTTTTTGATCTCATGAAGTCACACTTAAGAATTTTGTTACGTTTGCGACAGAGTTTGTTGTTTTTATTACTGCTAGTATTTTTCTTTTGCAGCCGTGGATCTATAAAGATCTTGACTTTGGAATTGATCTGGACACGAGGATAGCATTGGTTGGGCCAAATGGTGCAGGCAAGTCCACCTTGCTGAAGCTGATTTCCGGGGATAATATGCCTACAGATGGCTTGATAAGACGTCATTCGCATGTGAAAATGGGTAGATATCATCAGGTGAGTGCAGAATTCATTTTTTATTTTAATAATATTCTTGTTTTTTGATTGTTTAATTGATATAATTATTCTTCAAAGACGTTAACGTTAGTATTTATTAGCATTCAGTGCAGTATTAGCATACCGTTGAAATAAATCTTCTTTGAGTAAGCTTACAATTAGTAGAATGAAATTTGAGATTTTAACTCGAAGAAGAAGGGAGTGATTTCGTGATTGATTCGCTTTTGTGTAAGTGCTGCTGATGCCTGAAGACTGTTGACGAGGTCAGCGATTCTTAACGGACGTTTCTTTGTTTTAGCATTTACACGAGGAACTTCCGTTGGATAAATCAGCGTTGGAGTACATGATGTCGTCTTTCCCGGACGTCAACGAAAAAGAGGATATGCGCAAAATCATCGGTCGTTACGGTCTGACTGGCAGAGAACAGGCACTGAATTACAACTGAATTTCGATTACTATTTGCAGTAATTGTGTGTATATTGGCCAGCCATCAATATATTTTTGCGATATTTTCAATTTATTCAGGTATGTCCAATGAAGCAACTGTCCGATGGTCAGAGATGTCGTGTATCGTTCGCGTGGTTAGCATGGCAACAACCACATTTGCTACTGTTGGACGAACCGACGAATCATTTGGATATGGAGAGTATAGATGCGCTGGCGGAGGCGATCAATTGTTACACGGGTGGTATGATATTGGTTTCTCACGACTTCCGATTGGTACATCAGGTGTGTGTCGTTGTCGTTGTCGTTGTTATGGTCATCATTTTGTGATCTATCTTATGCTCTGAATTGGATTAATTTGAAATTCGATTAGACTGAGAAGTGAGGTTTTCATTCGAATCTGATTGTGGGTCTCTTTTGATGGGAGTTCGCAATTTGTTGAGCTGAGGGGAACAATTTTAACAGTAGATATTTCATCATGCACAAATGAGTGGATGAATGAATCTGTCTTGTTTTGTTCAGGTGGCTAAGGAAATTTGGATATGCGATCATCAGACGGTCACCAAATGGGACGGTGATATATTCTCGTACAAGAAGTTCCTTCGTAAACGTATCGATCGTGAACAAGTGAAAGCAGTGGAACGTTGAAAATGGCATTGCATCCATCCGAAGCTTTCGTGTGCCCGTCGTCGACAATCCTTGTTTTTTTCTCCCGCATAGATTCTCCATTATGATGGAGTAATATTTATTTTTATTTTGGCTAAAATTATCGTATTTTCTGTAAGTTGAATTGAAACTTTGTAAGCAAAGTGACTTGTTCAGAGAACTCTGGTTGATATTCAATCTTTTCATCGAATAACTATCAGTATTGATGATTTTTGATTGATTTTTTAATTTGTATTTCATATTGCTTCTCGATTCTCTTCGATATTCTTACATTGTTACTTATTTCGATCGTGATTAGTGACCCGAAGTTGAAACTTCACATACTCTGTCGACTGGTAGCAATTGTCCCAGCTTTTTCGATTGGCCTCTCGTTCTTTTGTTGATTGTCTCATTTCTCGGTTCGTGATCCCGGTCGTCACGGGAAAGTATGTTTTGTTACTGAATTGAGGAAAATTTTCATCGAAATCATCACTCATAATGAACTGAATACTCGTCTGTCTGTTTGTTTGCTCTGATATGATATGGTGTGATGATACTGCATTGTATTGTATTATATTTGTTGTAGAATATTCAATTGTAGTTTGTTTTTTTTTGGAAGTGATCCATATGCAAATGCGTTCAAACTATTGTCGTATTGAATTTTACTTATATTTTGTTCGCCTAGTTTGTGAACGAGAAGAATCATTTTGAAACAGCAAACAACCGAAAGATTGTTGATTCTAATTATTTTCACAATGTAATTCGTAGCGAAATTTCTTCATGTTCCACATTAAGCTTCTGGTTTTTGATATGTAATCATTTGCTTACCAGAATGTTAGTTGAATCGCATTGCTAAATGCAACTAAACCAATGATGTGAACTTTTATCGGTTGTATTTGGTTTTATATAGTTGCAGTATAATTATGATTTTTATGTGACTATTTTCTCTGAGCAGGAAAAAAACTTGGGAGAATTTGGAACGTCGATGGCGCAGAACTTAGACAAGTAATGGCGAAAACGCGTGATTAGTATATGTATATCCTAATTGATTGACGCTGTTTGCAGGAATTGTTTCGTTATGCTTATTGTGCTTGTTGATTGAAGGTGACTTGTTATTCGGGAAAGAACATCAAATGTAATCTCGATTTTGAATTACTCGAAGAATTGTTGACTTTTTTTGGAGATTTATTGTTTTGCATCGAATAAATGAATCCGTTTGCTCGTTCTCTGTCGCATTTCCTCACGTCCACTTAACAATGATCAGTTTTTACAATTGGATTCACCACTTCGCGATGATCTTGTTGAAAGAGCTAGAGAAAATAAACTAAAGCCAACAGCACGTTGAATCAGAGGAACCGGTGTTTTTATGTGGATACCATAGCATTATCAGAATAACGGAGATAAGATTTTCGAGCTAGGTTCATCCAAAACTCTGTTGGAAATCATAACAGTTTGTTACCAGAAAATCTACTTGGATAATGCTTCGTGCCACAGATATAGCTTCAGATACCATCTTATGTCAGATAACTGAGCGATTGATTCCACGCAACAGGTAAACACTTCGCATTTGATATGCGTGTTGATCAGTGATGCTCTGGTAGCGCAGATTTCTATCGAATTATGCGTAACTCTCGAAGGATCGACCAGCAGATTCAACTCTGCCGTTCAGCAAATCCCGAATGAACTGGAGCCGATTGTTATCTCATCTAATCTGAAGAATCTTAACGTATACGTGAGTGAGCAGCTTTCTTATTCGTGGGATTATCTGTGCGTTTGATTAGTATTGTTCTTGATGTAGTTGAACAATCGGATCCGAAACTGGTTCTTTTTNATTCAGATGTACGCCTTCACAATATTTCATTGGACAGTTGGTGTGTGTTGAATTGCAGTAATTCATCAAAAAATTATGTGAGTTGAATTTGAAGCGATGTTATGTGCATAAATTTTCTCGGATTGTGATTTATGTTGAATCTGAATGCTGGAATTTTCATTGACTTATCGAAAAAAAAAATCACTTTTACATGATGTCAGAGACTGATAGAATGAGATCACTTTCGATAATATTATTACTGATTGTGAGCATTTGAATAGGCCAGCTGAATATCAGTCGGTTTTTCTATTGCGCAGTTGAATTTGTCGTTTCTCATGGTCGTTGATCTCTGAGTGAGTATCTCTGACTTCTGTGAGTAAAACGATTTGATTTAGTTGAGTATCGCAGCCGAATTCTTTCACAAATACCATCAAATTCGTACCAAACGCTGAAGTCGTCTCATATGAATAACATCTTTCTACGTTCCTCAGCAGCTCCTATCTGAGCATGAGCATAAGCCCTGAAACTGTGCGGTATTTGATCTGATTCGACACCGTTCATATGGAGTCTCTCGGAAATTTTGAATTCATCGCAGTTCCGCAAATTCCTCTCATTCTTAGCAGAACATTTTCGGTATTCATCGTCAGTTACTGATGAAAATATTCAATTCAAAAAAAAA